GGCTTAGGGTTTTGGGTTCAGGGTCTGGGGTTTTCGGTTTTTGAGGGCTTAGGGTTTTGGGTTCAGGGTGTAGGGTTTTCGGTTTTTGAGGGCTTAGGGTTTTGGGTTCAGGGTCTAGGGTTTGCGGTTTTTGAGGGCTTAGGGTTTTTTGGTTCAGGGTTTAGGGTTTTCGGTTTTTGAGGGCTCAGGGTTTTGGGTTCAGGGTTGATTGGCTTCGATTCCCCGGTGCTGGGCTATTGTAGCCTTTTCTCTTTGCTATGTTTGGTTACTGTCATTGGTTCTCCGTATGTAGGGTTATTGACACATGCCCTAAACCCTAAACCCGAAATTCCTAAACCCTAAACCCTGAAACTCCTAAGCCCTAAACCCCAAAACTCCTAAACCCTCAACTCGTAAAACTCCTAAACCCTAAACCCCTAAACTCCTAAACTCTCAAACTCCTAAGCCCTAAGCCCCATAACTCCTAAACCCTCAACTCCTAAAACTCCTAAACCCTAAACCCATAAACTCCTAAACTCTCAAACTCCTAAACCCTAAACCCCTAAACTCCTAAACCCTAAAACTCCTAAGCCCTAAACCCCCAAACTCCTAAACCCTCAACTCCTAAAACTCCTAAACCCTAAACCCCTAAACTCCTAAACTCTCAAACTCCTAAGCCCTAAACCCCCAAACTCCTAAACCCTCAACTCCTAAAACTCCTAAACCCTAAAGCCCTAAACTCCTAAACTCCTAAACTCCTAAACCCTAAACCCTAAACCCCTAAACTCCTAAACCCTAGAACTCCTAAGCCCCAAACCCTAAAACTCCTAAACTCTAAACCCTCAAAATTATAAATTTTAAACCCTAAAACTTATAGATTTTAAACTTTAAAAAAGTTGAATTCTAAACCCTGGCAGGTTTTGGGTTCTGGGGTTGAGGCGACTCCTTGGTTCGGGGAGATGAAGCGTAGGAGCGCTGCAAGGCTGTGCAGTTTCGGGGTTTAGGGTTTAGGGTTTAGGGGTTAAGAGTCTAGGAATTTAGGGTTTAGGAGTTTAGGGGTTAAGAGTTTAGGAATTTAGGGTTTAGGAGTTTAGGGTTTAAGGTTTAGGGTTTGGGGTGTAGGGTTTGGGGCTTTAGGGGTGTAGGGTTTGGGCTTTAGGGCTTATGGTTTAGGAATTCGTGTTTAAGGTTTAGGGTGTAAGGTTTAGTTTAGCTAAATGTTTAGGGCTTTTGGGGTTCTGAATAGGACTGTGATGCTGAAGACATGACCTGTTCAACAGACTCCCACAGTTGTTGTGAAGGGGATTGAGATTTGGATGGGTTTGGGGTATAGGGTTTCGTTAGGCATTTAAGTCTCAGGTTCAGGTCCTTAGGCTCAGTGCCGTTTGATTTGTCTGGGGGCTGTACCTGTAACCGCAAAGACCTACCTTCTTGCGGGTTCCTTTTGGTGGTTCTCTATATAGCTCCTCAAAAAGGCAGGTCCTTTGGGCCAAAGGAAAGGGCTCCACAGATGCTAGACTCCTTCTTCGGGTTTTGAGCTCGCAAGAGTTTGCTGCTGTACTTGATACTCGATACATCTCAAAACTAAAATTCGTGGCTCTCTGCGCAGCCTGAGAATCGGCCCCTGTAGATCCTGAGCCCCGGATAGAGTCCGGGGTTTAGGGTTGTTGATATAGATCCTAAACCCCAAACCTTACGCTTACACAGACCCGAAACACTGAAGACTGCACCTGTCAAACCTGAAGACCACGATGGCGTGGACGATTGATGGTAGTGTGTGCCCAACAGGGCTGAAGGAGAGAGCCCAGCGAGTCTGCAACGCAGCCCAGCAGAGAGGTCAGCAGATTGTGGAAGCTGAGGACCCCGTTGCCTTCAGCCTAAGGGTCCAAGTACTTAATAATCATATTTACTCTCCCAAATAGTAACCTACATAACTGTTATCCGAAACCTAAGTACCCCGTTGTTGGGTCCTTTGGACCCTTAGGGTAAGGTCTTGGAGGAGGCCGTTGGGTCAAGTGAGGACGAGGAAACCGGCGGAGCTTGTAGCTTGCGCGAGGAGGGCGTGAGATAATGTAGGCGCCTTAAGAATTCGAAAAGGCTTTGGGGTATACTATACCATAATAAGGAGCCCCCAAAACCCTATTCTAATTATGAAGGCCCCTAAACCCTAAACCCTTATAGTGCTACTTATAGAACGCTTTAAGGAACCCTTCAAAGGAGCCCCAAAGCCCTNNATCCTAATTATTAAGGCCCCTACATAGCATTTCTTTGAACGTGAGTGTCGACGAGGATGAGACCTCCCAAACCTCAATCCATTGCCCATCACTGCACGAACTCAAGAGGCTGATGCCCACCGCCAATGCCACGGCAATCCCTTCTGGGGCCCAGGTAGAGGTGCGCGTTTGCGAAGTGCCGGGTTTCAGATGGTTTCAGGGTCTAGGGTTCAGAGTTTGCACAGGGTCTGCCAGTGACAAAGGGCAGTTCTTAGAATGATTTCTTTGGTGCATGACATCATTGTTCTATTGAGATTGCGGAGCAGTATATCTCCCACAGCAAGGTTAAGGATTCTGGGAAAGTCGGTTGTCGACCCCCCCCCAACCCTACGGTTTAGGGGTTTAGGGNNTTAGGGTTTAGGGCCTAGGGGTTTCGAGGAATCATGTTCCAACTTGTTGGCACTTCCCCTGTCAAATGCGTTCCTGCAATGCTAAGCCTTAATCAGAACAAATACCAAGCACTAAGAAGTCCACAGCCCCTGAGGTGACCTTTCTCGAAGTTCAGACCTCCTCGAGCTTTGACGACGGCCCGCAGTCGGCTTCAAGGCGGATCGGAAGTAGGAGTTTAGGGTTTAGGGGTT